AGTGGGAGTGATCGTCACATTATAACGCCCCACGGCTGAAAGGACGAGCATGTTTGGTGGGACGGGGATTCGAACCCGCGACCTGCAGATTGCGAGTCGAGCGCCCTAACCACCTGGCCATGCCGGGCCCTGTAGAATACTTTGGTAATTCAAAGGTATCACTGGACCAGCGTCATGTCGTAAAAAAAATAATATTTCCAACTAATAACGTTTCATTTTTTTTTAATGATGACAATGACTACAGGAGAAAATCGGTGAATAGTTACAAATGTAGAATAATATTTACATCTCAGTGATTGTTCTTTTACACTTTTATTGGCAGAATCGAGTTTTGGGTCTAAGCCTCTTTTCAGAATGTTGTATTTTACGGGCAACAGTTAGAACTGTAAGAAAAATTAAAGCCACGTCAAGAAACCGAAACGAATTCTCATGTATAACTGTAAGTAATGAAGCAGAGATTTGTTTTAGAATTTTCGCGCAAAAATAGCCATACCCAATTTTGAACTAGTATGCTAGATGTAAAGACAGCACTCACCGTCAACTCTTGTTTAACTTAAAGGTATAATTTGACATTTCTTCTTATAGCATGACTGATGTACCAAATTGCAGAGCGAGTTTGTACAACAACGGGAAGCGATTTGGAATCCTCAAATTCACAAAAAACACGCTCTGCACTTTGGGACCATGGGGGCGCTATAAAAGTGACGGTCATATCCCAATATTAAGTCAGACAAAAGTGGTCCAAGAGTTGGAGGTGGGTGTCACTCATTAAATGCCCTCCCTCTTATCTACTAGTTCAAAATTATAAGTAGCTATGTGAAGATTACCATTGTGTAGCTTTACGCAAAATTACCGTAAAAAAAACAAACTTTTGGATCGGAAACGTCGATCCTGACATTAAATGTATAAAATTTATTTTGCAATTGTCTTCCACATTTTCAAATACTCCTTGTTTTATATATACATATATAGATATAATATTACTGTGAATGTTTTATGAATTTCAAGTAAAAAATTTAAGGAACAGCTTCACATTAATTTAAAAAGTTCGTAAATTAACAATACCAGTTTGTAGTAGAGAAAACTGTAATATAAGACAGTTCTGTCTTTGATGGAGGGTATGTCTGATTATAAATATAATTATAATCAGTGTGTCTCATTTTAAATTACAAGATAAAAAAAGCCATGGTACAGAAGTCATTTATTTGGATAATTTTTTCTTCAAATATATTTATTGTTCTTGGTGAGTTGAACACCTTTATATTTGTGCAAATTCTGAATATTAACAGGTAGGCAAATTTTCCATTTCATTATCCAGAGTCCTTTGAACCACAAAAACATAATGGTTCCATAAGAATTGCTGAGGTTTTACCAAATATAATTATATAAAAAAATATTCTCTAGTTTATTTGAAGTACAAAGATTGCATAAATAACACGTGAGGCAGTTCAGTTCTGTTAAGATTAAGAAAGATAATATGAACATTACAATGGTACTGAGATAAGAGCTGTTATTATTAAGTCTAACCAGTATGGTTAGGAAATTAATTTATTACTCATACATTTATTTTTCATTATATTCTATGTAGCATTTTGCCTCTTGTTTGAGATTATTCATTATCTAAATGTAATATTAGTTAAAATTTGGTTTCCTGGTTTTTCATTGGCCAGGTTTGTTACTCCTGTCATGACACAAAAAATTTGCCTTCTGTGTAACAGAATTATGATATTCACAAATACAAATTTGACAGAATAGTATATAAATTGATCAGCAAAAACTGATATCCAGAATCATTCTTTCTAGCTTTACATGTTCAGTATGATGTCTTGTCAAGATATCCCGTTTTCATTCCACACATTAGTACTGTATTTTGTTGTGAAAGTTGGCATAGTAGCACACTTCCACAGAATATAATGAAATATATTACAGTATCTTACTTATAACTCTACAACTGCAGTTTACAACTTGAATACATGACATCATGAGCTGCTGTAACTATGAACTTTGTATATTTTTATAAATAAGTTCAATCTTTATATGAGAATGATTCTGTCACAAGTGTAACATATACAGACATATATATTATCAAATTCAAGAGAAATTTATAAAATTCACACTTGTATAAAGTACAAGGTTTGGTAAGGTAATCAAATGTCTATTATTTTACTGGAAGTTTCTACAAAGATGAAATCAAGACATTAGAAAAAATACTTTTCAATAGTCTTGTTTGCATAAATACTAAGATCCCCTTTTTGAAAACTGACTACATTATTAAAAAAAGATACAAAACTTGAATCTGGTCTACAGCCAAGTGCCTAACCTATAATTAATATTCTACTTTGAAATTAACCATAAATAATTTTACTCAAAACATTCTCAAACTAACACACTTATGTACAAATCACCATAATTAAACACTTATATAGTATTCTATACTACAAAGCTTTTTTTGAATTTGTTTATTAATGAGTTATACAAGTACTTCAAATATAATAACTGTTCAATTTTGTTTAATATTTTCTTAGTATTAATACATTATGTATATTAAGTAACTCAAAATGTTAAAAACAAACTCAGTATTTATCAACATGCAAATAATTAAGTTTATGTCAAATGACCTGTTCTTTAACATTTTTACATTGAATATTTAGAGAAGCTGAAATACACAAAGTACAGAAAAATAATTCCCGATGAGATACTAATACAATAACACATTGAAAGAATATAGTTGATCTGTCACAGCTAATTAATAAAAAAGTATATACAAGCCAACCCAGGTTTCTGTAGCATATTCACCACAAATAAGTTAATCCACAGGTGACAACCAGTCACTACTGGTGAGATTTGGTCTACTACTTTACAGAAACTCCTCACACCAATCATGTAAACACTGGTAACAGTCTGATGCTTGTTTGCTGTTTGCACCTGCTGCATCTTTCAACCAGTCAATAAAAAGTTCTTTACTTTTCTTCAATACAAGAAATTGCCCAAGTACTACATATGCCTACATTAAAAAACAAAATATACATGTGTATTATGAAGTAAATTAACAAGCATTTTGACAATTTTCTCAAGAAATCCTGAAAAATAAAACATATTTAGTTTTAGTTTTATTTCATTTATGAGGTTAGATATCAAAGTGTTTAACACCGAGCATTTATCACAAGACTAAGGCATAAAACTGCAAATCCCTATGTATAGATCTTTGATCACAATTTAAAATATTTTAATCATTCTGAAATGTACTTGAAAATGCATGTGTTGTAGAAACCACAAATGAAAGCAACTAAATACACAGCTGGCCTGTAAAAGGTTTCTTTGTTAATCTTAAATGTATATTTTCTAATCTAATAGTCTTCAATTTTCATAACTGATGGCTTTTTTTCCTAAAGGTAAGGAAACAGAAAAACATACAAGAACTTTCACCAAAAAACTTTTATTGACAGGAGTAAACCCCATACAGAACCAACTCAAGATTAACAAGTCTAAGTAAATTAATAGAAATGTTTAATAAATACAGGCAAATGGTAAAAAATATTAATTTTGCACTCTCAAAGATGTATTAAACTTCATTGGCTGGATAATATTTATAGTTATGAATTCTCAGACTATGAGCACTAATAATACTACACTCTGTAATCTAATCATTATTCAGACTACTACTACTTTAGTTTCATAACTTCAAAGAGAAACAAGCTTTGTAGTTCTAAGTATGCTCTAGATTTTGTGATAAACACAGAATGCTTTGCTGTCAAAAGTATTTAAAAAAAAAAAGATGGATAAATATCTGATAACAAATGCATAGCTTTTTGCATATATCTTATAATTCTTTCAGCTTATTCTTTTTGACAAACATATGATAATTGTTTATTATGGTGTAACAAAATAACTTTTATTTAGTTTAGTAATATCAACTCAAAACTTATTCACTGGAAAATTAGCACAAGGTGAGTCAAGGAGGATACTCAGTCCAGAAAATACTAGTTTTACTAACCTGATAATAAAAAACTGTGCATGTTTATGGAGATATAAAAACAAGAAAAAATGAAGTTTATATGTAATGTCATACAACTATTATACTGTGATAATATTGACTAGGCCTATTTCTTCAACATCCATTCATTTGCTTATTAATGCTACTTATAAGACACCTCCACCAAATCAGTTAACCAGGAGTAAAGATAGGCAGTAGGCTTATGAAAATGTCACTCAGCAGTTTATATCACCTGAAAGAAATATATTTCTATACCTCAAAAAATCTAAAATTTTCTATGTGTCTCTGTTGTTCCTCTTAACATTATTTATGATTCTTGGTTATTACAGTTTAATTTATATAATTATAATAAAAATTAAAAATTTCAATTTAATAACATAATCTTAGAAGTTTAAGTGAATTAAAGAATTAAAAAAAAACATGATGGGTGAAATATGGGAATCAGATCCCAACCTAACACCCCTATGTCACTCCTCTGGAAGCTTTATAGGTATATGCCAGATTTTGTACCAACCTAGCAGTTTGCCAGTTACAAGCAGCCACCATGTATGAGGAATACACTGGAGGAGGGGTCAAGTCTGAATGCAACCAATATTACTATCTGGAGGGGCTGTAAGGGTACAAGCCAGGTTTGGAGACAATTGGTCCAGCATTTCATCAGTTATAAGTGGACAAACACACAGTTTTGTTGAATAATGGTTTAGATTATGTCTTTTTTGATGTATTACAGAAAATTAATGTATTAATTAAAATTTTTATTCCTGCCACTCTTTTCCATCAATAGGGAGTTTTCACATGTCTGCACATAATATCACGTAACCGACTGGTGCTACCTGAAATGTCACTTAGATTGGACATGGAGAGAATAGAATGGATGGGGGGGTATCAATTCAAATTTAATGATCTGAATTCCATTTTTAGTTTAAATGGTAGATTTCAACATGTTATGCTTCTGAACAGGCAGTACTTGTAATACTGTCACTGATGAGGAGAAAATCTCAGATCTAAGAAGGTATTATCATTCTGAATGAGGGAAAAGTACGTCAAAAATGTATGTAGAGATATTTGGAACACTCATATTTGGGACTTCCATTAAAAACTTATCTTGAATTACTTCATAGTCTACTGAGAGGGAAGGGGACAGGCAAAATGGAACCCATAAAAGACATACAACAAACCTCTCAATACCTTTTAGATATGAAGGATCAAATCACAGTGTAAAACCAACTGAAGAAAAAGAAGGAATGATGAACAGTAGAGAGTACCCACAGATTGTGATAAACCCTTCCAATCCAAAACTACTGTATCCATATTGAACATTGAGAAGGTGTATAACACAAACCAGAAGAATGAATCCTAGTAGGCAGTGTCTCTAGATCACAGATCAGAAGAGCAAATGAAACATTTGGCTGGTCCTTTGTCTCAGCCCATAAAGGTCAGGGGGGTCACCAAGAAGCCCAAAAGGTCTATATACTCTCTGGTGTGTTCTAGACCATTTATAGACACTATTTACTGCTAGAATGATTAGTAAACACTGGAATTTTGCCATTTTAACTTGTGTTTCAATAATAAAAATTACACACCAATTAACATATAAGCCGATAATTTATAGAAATATTGAGGCAATTCTTGTACAAATCATACTCTAGTAGAGTAAAATTATTGAATAATCATTTCCAAACTTTTAAAAGGTACACATAGAATATTACGTTCAAGTATGAAATGATGCTTGTCCTGCTAGCTTTTTCTTTAAATTTTAAAGCAAATTGATGCATGCTGGAACTTTTATGTATTGTGACAGCCATTTCTCAGTAACTTTTGACTGATAAAGGGATTTGATAATGTAATGGCAGATAATGCATTATATCAGTAAGACTAATTATTTATTTCATTATTCCATGAAACTTACTGAACATAATTTCTGGCTTGCATTTAAGCAAAAAGATCTCTTATTATATCGTAAAATTTAACAGTCTTTATAATATTTTGATAGCAAGGTTTTTGACTTAACAATATATGCGTTAAATTTCAATATTATAAAAAAAAATTTTATACTTTATAAGATCAAACATATTGTTAGTGTAATGTGCTTTATAGTCACTATGAGAAAAACCTATACACTGGATAGGTGAAGTGAAGAAAAAAGTGTCATTGACCACTATTCAGTTCTTCACATTATATAGCTGTACAATAGCAGGTATAACAAACTTAGTATTCAGAAAATTGTTTAATCTTGAAGTCTAAGTTCAAGGGAAGTCCAGTTCAATCTACACTGTGATCAGGGTTACTGATGAGAAATGGAATTCTCCAAAACTAGTATATCACAATAACACATGCTGATCAAAGTGTAGATTGAACTGGACCTCCCTTGAACTTAGACTTAGAGATTCAACAATTTTCAGAATATTGCTTACTTTATAAGATCTATAAATTCTGTATTGTAATATGTTACAAGATTATTTGGAGCAATGGAAAAAAAAAAACAACTTATGAGACTGAAAATAACTTCAAAACTGCGAAATTAATACATTTATAATATGTTGTCATTCATAAAAAAAAAGTCCTTAATTATTAAAAACAATTTTGTGGTATACCTGCTTCTCTCCCCCAACTTTCATCAGTTTATGTCCATCTCTGTCTAACTTAACTCCATCTACATGACTTCACACATAAAAATGTCTATTCCAAGCCATTTTTAAAGAAATTGGTAAATAGGTGCATAGCAAAAAATTTAAAGCCTACCTCTTTGCTGATCCTTTTCAGTTATCTGCCATTGCACCTTATGAAATTTTGTGCACTTTCAAAATATTCAGATACCATTGGATAAAAGCTGTTTTGCAACTGGTTGGTCCATCAATTAGCCAGTTAAAAGGGAGGCTTGCATATTCATTTTGGTTTAAAGTTAACCTCAAAGCAGACAAGGCAATCTCAGATTGAGCTTACTAGTACAACTAGTATTCTGTCTCTAACCCCAGCACCCCCCAAATTTTGAACAAACTGGATGGATAGTAAACTTGGCTATAGAAATGGCAGAAATCCTCCAAGCAGTAGCATATTTTCATCCCTGCTAGATATTACACAAGAACTTTCCCCATCAAGTTGGATTAGTCAGAAGAAGGCCAATCCAAAACTGGCAAACATGTGGTGTAAGAGGTGAAATAAGATATACACTTATCCTTGTTCCATGAGTTAAAAAAAAAAAACAGAAAAACTACAATACAAACTAAGGAGGCATTCAAAACTCAGAAACAAAGACAAGGTGCAAAATAAAAGAAGAGGTAATGCTCACATATCTATTTGTACTATAACCTTCAATGAATACTGAGCAATTGAATCTACAAATGTAACTAGATAAAACACAAGAAGTAAGGGGCCAAAGAAATCATGTTTGGAACATTCAGTGACAATGTAGGGAACATAGTAAAAAAATTATCTTAAACTAAAACATGGGGCCTCAAAAAAAGATTGTTACTTCTATTAGGATCACAAGGGAAAACCAACCTTGGAAATGCTCAATAAGTTATTCAACATCAAAGAGATACTAAAAGTAAATATGAAGCCCAGTCTATTATTTGATTCACCATTTGTCACTGAGTTACACCAGTTTCAGATATTCCACCTCTCATCAACGACTCTGTACAAAAAGTAAATCAAATAAACAAGACTAGGCTTCTTATATTGGTAGACTGTGTATTATGTGTTTTTAGTTGTCTTCTACTCACAACAGTGAATCTATGTTTATATAGAATTTAAAAAATACTGATGCTACTACTTCATTCTTTTACATTATTCAAAAGACACGCTGTTTAAGATATTAAAAATAGATAATAAAGTTCAATCAATCATTTGTGTCACTGCTTGTCACAAAGTTACACCAGTTTCGGGGAATTCACCCCTTATCAGTTATACTAAAACCAGTAAAACTCAACAACAAATAGAGAACTGAATAATAATTGGGCTTCATATTTATATTTAAACCTTAAACAGATTACCTGCTGAATAATGTAGAAGAATAACTGCTACATTTTATTCAAATATCCAAAATAAATATAGGTTCATTGTGATGAGTAAAAGATATCTAAAAAACACCATACATAACATCAGAGAGAACTAACAAGACAAAAAAAAAGGCAATCTGGATCAAAGCAACAATGACATACAGAATCTGAAGGGGAAAAGTCACTTTTCTTTAAATATAAATACAACAAGTTTACATTTAACTAGTTAGATAAATTAATTTTAAAACAACTGCTACATTATATATATATATAAATTTTCACACAAAAACTAAATACACAAAATTACTTTATCATAGCCTTTGTTTCCAAGCCTCTTCCCTAAGACTTCCTGCTG